AGATGAGAAAGAAACCATGTGTGAAATGAAAGTTAGATGTTTTCAAAACCACTTCATTTAACGAGAGGACACTAATCAATACGTACTGTTTTTCATAATGAAAGAAACAGTGGGATGGAGGAACATTTATGATTGCAGGTCATATTGCCTAACGGTGTATTCTACTCTATTTGAGTCCCCTGGAGATTAGATTAAAGAGCCTGTTTCAGCTGAATCACCATCTTCCTGAGTGAAAAACAAAAAAAAAAACAGGTGAACTCAAGTCCCTCCAAACAAGAAAATATTTACTGGCAGCATCAACCTGTCAATGTTCAAAATACATCGTCTAATACGCATTTAAAAATCCTTAATAGATCTCTCATGCATATATTTGATATGTAATTTATTGTTATATGAATATTAACATTCTATATTTGTATTTATAAAAGGTCAGACAACCTAACAATAATACCAACTTTTATTTTTCAAGCCTGAATAAAGAAACGTGTTTAATTGAATCACTCTCCAACATAATCACTTTGAAATGTTTTTGAAAGTAACTTTTTGGATTTATTTTCAAGACTACTCTAGAACCATAAAAGAAAATCAATTTGCCAAAATAATCTCTCTCTCTCCAAACATGCACACACACGTACGCACACACGTATACATATATCAGCAAATGATAGCTAATAAGCATGCGTGTTAGTATATGAACTTCTAAGTCCTTAAATCCAACAGTAAGAAGTGTGTAAGTACGAAATTAATGAAATTCATTTGCCTCGTTGACAAGCAGCTCTGGATTCTGAAGTTCAGCTATCACAATTATTTAGGCATTTATTGCCTGTGTTATTTTGATCGTTTTCCTCCATACTTCTCTTTTTCCAGATAGGGAGTTTTCATTTCTTTGGTATTTTTCATAATCTTATTAAATAGGCTGTATTGCATGTCATCTAAATCCTATTTAGTAAAGAAAAATTATAAATATTTCATTTATAATACTTCGAGTATAACCGGGAAGGGAAGGGGTTACTGATTAACCTGCACTTACATTTCTTCACAATGGCACCTCGGGAGTTCACAGTGCTAACTGTCTCTCTCAGTGTTTTTCCTCTCTTTTCTTGTTTGATTCACAGACCCCACATAGTCTAGAGGAAATTTTGACTCAATAATTAGGCCAAGATCCAGTAGAAACCTTAAATACAAACTTTTTTTTGTAATTTATTTGGTGTGTACATTTTTGGAATACAAAATGTACATGGTAAAAATGATATATACATAAATTAGAATTTTAATCTGAATTTGGCACTTGTTCTTATATTATCTCTGTGAAATCTGTTTTATTTTTATTCTGTCTATAATGACAGCCCTAAAAATAATAAAGTCACTTTCTACTAGGTAATTATTGTTTCAAAGCATTTCTGAAGACCATGAAAGGGCTTAATCGTTTACTCGCTCATAAAAGACACTCAACAAATGCTGGTGAATATGTGAGTAATGACCATGCTCTCTCTCTCTCTCTCTCTCTTTAACTATTTAGTTAAAACCTATATTAAAGGGCTGAGCCCGTGGTGCACTCGGGAGAGTGCGGCCCTGGGAGTGCAGTAGCGCTCCCGCCGCGGGTTCGGATCCTATATAGGGATGACCGGTGTGCTCACAGCGCTCTTGCGGCCGGTCTCAAAAAGGACAAAAACAAAACAAACAAAAAAAAACCTATATTAAAATAGGTCATCTAGCTAAAAGGTTTGAACCTATTTTATGATC